GGAAAAGACTTTCAAGATATATTAATTTACTTAATAATCTCAATATAGATGCGTATAGGCAAATATAAATTGACATTTCTTTTATTAGATTTCTTGCTTGGGCTCATTACACTAAAATTAGACTTGACCTACATTTGGCGAGAAAATGGGATTCCGCCAAGCAAGCTATGAAATCAATACGCCAACAAACACTCACGGACAGACACAAACACACACACATACACATACAAGCACACCTGCGGCTGCATTTAGCCGAATACACATGCAATTCGGGGTGCTATAGCAACAGGGCAAAGAATACGGCAAAACATTCAATGTCAATGGCACAGCCGGAGCCGGCCAGATGTGGTTACAGAGAGAGCTGAGAGCGCGCTAGAGAGAAACAAAGAAAGAGAGAGAGCGAGAGAGAACAGTTCTCATATGCAACATATTAGATAATAGCCGCACAACTGTTCGCATTCTGAAACATTGCCAAAGGTCTATAAAAATAAAACTAAACAAAGCTGACGACAGTAAAGGCAGCATTGCATCAAGTTTTCTTTTTTGGCGAACATGACAAACAGTTTTAACTTAAAAAAAAAAAAATTATACTACATACTATATATATAATATAATATATATACTCTTATGCATTATAATCCTTATCAAATATATGCAGCTTGCCTATCTGTTTAACATAATGAAACATCAATGATTATTATCATCTTTGATTTAGTTGAAGACAAATAATTTGTACTCTGTCTCTTTCTACACAATTATGCAAATATTTAAAATATAAATATTATTATTTCATTCATGAAAATTAAAAACAATGACGTCAACATCAATTCGAAGCGTCGCAATCATAAGGTGATCGACCTGAATTAAATGAAATTGCGTTTAATTTCAATAGGTTTAAAGGGTTATCAACTCTTCTCTAAAGCGTACTCAACCTCCGATTAGCTTAGATTATATATGTGCTATATACATATGTCATACATGGAAGAGGTCGGCTTATTTGGCTGCTCGGACAGGTTCCTAATGTGACGGCTTGGACTCGGATTACGTGAAGCTTTAATCATATGGCGGAACTAATGCCACTCAACCAAGTCAACGGCTAGCCCAGCTCTCGCCCGTTAGAGGATCGCTGTCAAGCGCCGCCAGTTGTGGGGCTTCCCAGCGCCAGTCTAGCAAGTAACTGGGTCAGTGGCATGTGGCAAGAGGTATGCGGCATGCGACATACGGCATACGCAATTGTGCCCATTATGCTCAGCCGGGCCGTCTTTGGTGTCGGCTTTTGTCTTTGGCCAATGCAACTGGTCTTCTTTCCAAGCATTTGCTCCACACAGGCGCCAAACGCGGCGTATACGCAACGTCGAACCTTGACAAACAAATCTTAAACCAATTGAACTCTATGAGAGACGTCACCAATAGAAATTTGCACTAGTTATTGACTCTCACTATATCTATGTGTGTGTGCGTGTGTAGCACGCAAAATTATTCGCAGCAAACGACCTTTTGCTCTCTTCTGCTCAATTTTGAACTCTCATCGACTCCAGCGACTTGACATCGTCATTGCCGTCGCGGTGTTGAATAACGTTTTGTGATCCAATAAACTTTCAGCAATTTAATTCACTTGACGTCGTACAGCTACACGTACATACATACACACATACACTCGTACATTGTCGGCACTAACATGCGCTAAGTTTTGTTGAACTCAAGCTTGGATAGAAATACTTCTTTGGCTCGTATGACCGCAGCTCTGACAACACTTGATTCACACATTCCTCCATCAAACATTTGGTCAATAGCACGGCAAAAATAAATTTGTAATCAATTGGTAATTAATATGTTGGCACCTACATACGATACAATCGGATACATGTCAAGCATGTTCACATTCTAAAGAGAATATTCAATAGTCGCTGTGGAGCGAACATCGATCGAATTTCCGCCCCATAGGCATCATTATATAGATTTTGTAAGCAGAAAATTGAGCTTAGAAGTCGAAACGCAACTAGCATATTTTTTATAATTTTTTTTTTTTTTTTAAGTCAAATACATAACATAATCACGGTTGAGCATTCAAGTATATCTAAATCATGATCATGCGTTGGAGATGTCTGCTTATGACCCTTATCATATATGGATGGATATTCTTATCTTTTAACATTATGTTTTAGGCCTTTTGATGAAAGCGTTTAGATTATAGACTTGGTTTTAGTTCAAGTTTTATTCCCCTATATTATTTAAAAACTTGTTCCTTATCATTTGAAATTCTGATAAAAATAAAAGAGATCTTTGAATATTATTTATAGGAAACAACTTGATGTTCGTTTTTTGCCTGATAACGTTATAATAAATATATATATGAGTAATGTGCAAATATAAACACAAATATTTATTTGGAGAGCGCAATCCATTTCTATAAATACACACATACATCAATGTATATATATATTTAAATATTGTAGCCTGCCTATCTTGCTAGGCATAAATTAAAGCATATAACGAAATCTGCCCATGCACAGAGATTCGTTATCAGATACATCAGTAAATATTCAGGGTCATAAATCTGTAAACATTTTCGTATAAATGTAGCGCAAGTAATTAGTCGACAATGCGGAATGCCGTCAATTCGGTGTCATTAGATAATTAAATAGAAATATTAAACTCGACTAAAAGATGGCCTCGATATTTTTTAAACCGAGATTCTTTAACTATTAAATTAGTATAAAGATATTTATCTCTTTGCCTATTTAAATATTGTCAATTTACTAGAAAGACAATGTTGTTGGCTTACACAACTCTTTGTATCTATGTAAGCCTATGTCAAGCCTTTGGTATACCCCAGTTTAGTTTGGCGTACGCCCATGACAAGTGTTAATTTCTCATCTAATCAGTGCTGGACTTTCTGCATAATTGCTTTCAATCGTGGATTGTCACGATTTCCGAATCAATTTGCCTTTGGCACAGCTCTGTAGGGATTAGGCCCATGCGCAAATTGATTGCAGTCAACCCTTTTGTGTTAATGCCCCAAACACATTGGTAATGGGTAAACGGGGTATGTCGTTTCCTGCCAAATATGTGTAGCAAACAGAAGAATATCTAATACATACATATATAACATTTAACCAAAGTGGTTCTCTATATAAATGTTTTTTGGTCGACTATTAGCTGACCGACTGCCGGGGTATCTTCTAGTCGAGCACTGCCGACTGCAGCGCTCTTAGTTGTTTGTGCTGTTTGACACGTGGACTTACCCGCTTTGCTGTTGGCCTCCGCATCGCCCTGGGCGGTCAGCCGCTCCGTTAGCAGCTTGTGAAGTACGCCATATGTGTTGATTAGCCCAAAGATGACGCCGTTGCATAGGAATGCGCTAACCATTACCAGCCAGGCACGTGCGCCGCCATCCGGCGGCTCCTTGCCGTGTATATCTCGACAGCAGGGCGCCTCGATATGCTGTTGGTTGCCATTCGCCTGGATCTTGCCATTGGATGCGGCTCGATGAACTTGACCGTTGCTGGTCTTCAATGCGTGCCCATTGGCACGCTCCTCGGCACTGATAATGCGCCCATTTGGCTGGCTAACGGACCCGTCTAGCGGCTCGTTCTCTGCCATTGCCGCCATAGATGTAAAAAACGTGTGGTTTCTGAAATTTCAACTGATTACAGATCGCGTCGCGTTGTCGCTCGTCGTTGTCGTTTTCGCTGTCGTCTCCGGCTCTATCTGATATGATCCGGCTATGCGGTTTATGGCCAAGCAGTGCAAGTTCTACGGATTCTCAAACAGCTGCTGAACCATAAACCAACACGATTTAAGATTTAATTGTAATTATCATTATTTGCACGACGCGCTTTCAACTACAATTGAGACACTGCCACTACGTGGATGCAATGGACTCAAATGCACTTGAACTTCATGTATTTCAGTCATTGAGCAGACTGCGTGGTTGGCACATTCTTGGCTTTAAATTGAAAGCGTGGCTAAGCAATAATTTTCGACAGCTTTGTTTATGTTAACTGCGTTCTACAATTTATTTAATCTCATTTTCATATATATATTTCGAAATTATAGTATAGGCATGTGAGTTGGCGGAAAATATTAATTTTTATTTAATAATCAGTCTAGTAAAAATATATATTTTTATATTTTATCTACGAACTCTTTGTTCTACTCTATCGTCGCATTAGTTTTCTATTTCCCTATTTCCTATTGCGGAACACAATTTAAAGCAACCATTAAAGCAACCAAAGAAAGGAACAATAGAACTAGCTTAACCAGCAAAAATCTGAACTTAATTCTTCACTTTGCGCATGGAACTACAAAGGTTTATAAATAAGCTAAGCCTTCAAAGAGTTTTCTTATTGCTTTGGATTTGCCTTTGAGTCAATGTCTTGTGTCATAGAACTGGAGAATAGGGTTGTTGAAGCTTTCAATGTCCAAAAGTGGTTAATGTATATATAAATTTAAATCTTACTTTTGAATCTTTTATATATGTACATATATACATACAAATAAGTAAAAGCAAACACTTTAGGAGCAACATTATTTTTGAAAAATCTTAATTATGTTCACCTTACAGAATCTAAAATGCTTACATTTC